AATGGTCCACCATTCAACAGTGAGGAGTTTACACAGTTCGCAAATTACCTTGGATTTCAGCATCGCAAAATCACCCCCCTATGGCCAGAAGCTAACGGAGAAGCAGAACGCTTCATGCGCAATCTCAAAAAGTGTACACAAGCTTCGTGTGCAGAAGGACTCAATTGGAAGCAGGAAATTTTCAAATTCCTTTGCAGTTATAGGGCAACTCCACATTAAACCACCAATGTAAGCCCATTCGAAGCAATTACAGGAAGATCTATGAATACTCAATTACCACAGGTGAATACTCGCAATCTACAACCAAAGATCAAGAATGAGATTCAAATAAGACTGGACGACCTTCGCAACAAGGAGAAGATGAGACTGTACGCTAATCAACGTCGTCAAGTTAAGGAATCCAGTTTAAGTGTTGGCGACTCAGTACTTGTCTGCCAACCGAGGAAGAACAAGCTGACACCTGCATTCGATGTTCATCCGTATGTGATCACGGATGAGAACGGATCGATGCTAACTGCAAAGCGTGTAGGTAGTGCACAAAAGATAACCCGAAACTCTTCACATTTCAAACCAGTCAGTATTGATTCAAAAGAACTGTCTAACTATGAACAAGAGGAGATGGCAAGATCTGCAGATAGTATGGATAATGGTGACGGTGACTCTCAAATTGATAATTCAAATCAGACAGGTGAAACATCAGATGAAGTTCAAAGAGAACATATTTCGCCTACTTCCATCCTGAAACAACCAAACAGACGTTCTACCAGATCCATCACTTTGCCAGTTCGATTCCGGGACTACAAAATGATACATTATATCCAGAAACATTAGTGATGTAAAATCACAAATGTACACATGAAGTGTGATCTCTATATCAGAACTTTTATAAAGTGTTTTTGAACATTATGATCATCAAAGATATGTTCTATCTGGAGCATAAAGGTTTAACATAAAGGTTGACAACAGTTGATTTATAATTCCACTGGTTAGTTCATGTAAAAGTGGTCTAGTTCTTTTATTGATTAGTATGCAGATAGAATACATTTGTATATTCTTCAATTTCTTACATAAGAGTTGATGTTTGTTCAAGGAATTATCCCTATTATCTTAAAAATCAGCAAAGTAATGATTTATGTCAGTGTTAAGGACGGTATTTGAGGTTGTTCATCATTTTAGAAGTTTAAGTTAATATTGTGATTTATATAATCTAATAGGATTGTTTTCAAGATAATATTCTTCTAGACAATCAGGATATCTGGCTTAACAAGTAAGTTTTTAGATTATTACTTATCAGTTGTATGTTGCCCTACTTTTTAATGTAAAGTTAAGGAGGATTGTAGTGTATATGCAATCAAGGTTTATAATTGTATGCATATGTATGGATCAGAGGTCAGGGTCTCGTTTGGGGGATTGACCATGTGCGAGCCAGTATCAATGGCGGCGCCCTGTATTCATTGCACTGACAACGAATAAAAGTCTTCGTTTCACTCCATCAAGGATCATATCATTTATCAACAGAGCAAAGATCATTCAAGAAGATTATACGCGTGACACTACGCTCCCAAAAATAACAAACAGGCGGAGAACGTGTCTTAGAATTTCTTGAATGTGAAGCGATGCCTATCTTTGTCCATTTATATCTGATAATAGTTTTTATGCAGTTGTATGGGTGTAGTACAGCCTGTTTAAAAGGACACGTTCTTCGTGTGTTTGCGTTGTGGTAATATACAATGAGGTTGTGTTTGTTTTGGGTAGCAGTGGGGTAGACTATTGTCTGTCTCCTGGACCAGTAGGGTATTTAGACGGGACGATTTATGCATTAGCAAGGGCGTATCCTGACTAACACGAGATCAAACTGTACTTTTTATTATAGTACGGTGTTATTATGTGAAACGGGCGTGGTGGGGATCTTTTAAAGTGGACATTAATTGAAAGGTTGAGAAAAGTATAAGATGTCATTTTTATACCAGCTTTCAGCAATTTTCTTTGGGGTATGTATGACAATAATAAATTTTGATGTAGATCTCTTGTAAACAGTATATGAAAAACGTCCTTGTTATGCTATAGTAAGTACTCTGTTCAAATAATATCATTCAGTTGATGCTCTTAGGGATGCATGGTTGTATATATACTACTCAAAAGAAGTTAAATATGCCATGACAAATTAACAATTGTAATTTGAAATAATCGTGTGTTCTTTAACTTCTTTTGAGCAGTATAGATATGACAATTGGCAGTAGCATGAGGTGGTTACCATGGAATGTAGAAGTACTCGTTTCCCGAGTGGTTATGTCTGTCGAACAGTATGGATTTGAAACGTTGCCAAACGTAGTGTAGTCACTCAACGTATGTCCCTTTCATCTGAGGTGGTATATCATCAGTAGCATACATCGGTGTTCTGTTTAGCTGATTGCGATTTAACCTTTTCACGGTATCTATATAGCTACTGACCACACCCTTCTCCTCTGTCTCACCCGTCACACCCCCACCTCAACATCATCATCCACATCGCACACAGCCACGCCCAACCCTCACCCTCAACCCCAATCACACACCGCCAACCCAAAGCCTCACCCACACCAACATCACACATACACCGCCACGCCCAACCCTCAACCCCACATAACACACCGCCTACCCCAAGCTTCACCCTCACTAACACCCCAACATCACACACCGCCGCGCCCAACCCTCACCTCACCCCTTCACACTACCACGCACAACCCTCACCCTCACCAACACCCTCACGTCACACACCGCCACGCCCCACCCTTCACTCAAAATAAAACAGTCATGCAATATCATTTCAATGACTTCTTCGATAAGACTCCCACATTGGGTGGTGTTTTCTGATGGCATGTCACGGCGACCTCTGCAGCCTACAGTCTGGTAGGCCGTCATTCTGTGGGCTATCCGAGTGTGGCGATCAGATATGATGAAATGAATATGAAACTCTTCATCTGCGAGGATCATTCCTGTATAAAATGATGTGATCTTCTCATGTGCTTCATCTTCTCGGCGTATTACCCTAATTCTATCCCATGCGCAGATACCAGGCAAAAACTCGAGCTTGCTACTCAGGGTAATTTTGTCGCCATTTCGAGAAAGATGTCGGCAATGTATTTGATGAAGATTGACTCGAAAAGAGTTTAATACTTTACATGTTCCATCTCTGATTATTAAGTACCCTAATTTCGCCGACGTCTCTTTGTAAACGTGTTCGTTTGGGGTGTATCAAGAAAAGACAGCTTGCTGAAGAGAGGGAATTTGAGTGATTGAAATGTGGAATAGATAGACATTTCACATGTTGAAATGGCGAAGAGAACTGTGTTCTTTACCAACCCAATTAGCCAAAGGAAAGTTTGATTATTGAGTCTCGTGGTAGAAGTGTGATTTGTTTATTTGTCTTGTCTCTTATATGGGTGAGGACTAAATAACATCATGGTGCATTCCGACATGCTGATTTGTGGTATTACAAAACACTATTGTAACATGAGTTGCCACATCTTGACACGTTACCTGACAAAACTGTGTGATGAGGCAGTTCGGGTGCGATGTGAAATTCTGTTCCTAAGTATGCATAGCTGCACTTCTTGTTGGCAGATTCGATGCTCTGTATTTCGTTTTTCAGCTACTCGAGTAATAAATTGGATGCATTGTATTTCATTTTTCAATTACTAGAGTAGCTGATTCGATGCATTGTTTTTCATTTTTCTTTCTCGAGTAGCTGATACGATGCATTGTATTTCATTTTTCAATTAATAGAGAGGCAGATTTGATGCATTGTTTTTTAAATTTTCTTTCTCGAGTAGCTGATACGATGCGTTGTATATCATTTTTCAATTTCTCGAGTAGCAGATACGGTGCAATGTATTCCATTTTTCAATTACTCGAGTAGCAGATACGATGCATTGTATTTCATTTTTCAATTACTTGAGTAGCAGAAACGATTCATTATATTTCGTTTATCAATTACTCGAGTAGCAGATTTAGTAGCAGTGGTATTATTTTGCGTTTTCATTGACTCTATTAGCAAATTTCGATTGATTCTTTTATACAGTTGTTGGCTCGAGTGGCAGATTCGTGGAAATATGTTGCATAATCATTTAATCTAGTGGCAGATTCCATTACTTCCTTTGAATAATCAGTGTCTGTGTTTGTGGTGGGTGCCCCGGTGGGACAGGATCTTCAGATAAACAATTGACTTTCCTTTGCATGTGTTTGTGACGGGTTAGATGTTCACCTGGTTCATCAGTATTTGATAGTGATTCATAAACACCTGCTAATGATATGGTCGGAATCGTACAAAGGATATTACTTATGAATATGGAAAGGATTTTGTCGCATTTATTTATTTGAATAATCATTGGCAGATTCGCGCGGCATGGTTTTTCATCTTCATTGACTTGAGTGGCAGATGCTATTGATAATCTTACATTAACATGGCCTCGATTGACAGATAGAAGATTTTTGTATTACCATTGACTCGATACATTATTTTGCATGCCCATGAAACCACGTATGAATGCCATTAACATTTTAAGTGATTAGTCGACCCCATGCTCGTCAAACACGAATAAATGTAATGCATGATAAAGAACTAAAATTGGTTTATAAATCATGAAGTTGCTTCCCTTAGCTTTAATAGGATCCTACTGGTCGTGGGTTCGAATCCTAGATTGGCTCCGATTATGAATTGAAAAAATGTTCAGAGAGGCGTTGGAGGCAGGGATGGCACTAAGTCTAAGGTGCAGAGTTGCGTCTCTTAGATGTGCCAGGATCCATCGATCACGGGTTTGAATTCTGGATTCTGACAGATTATGATCCTTGGTATATCACTGCGCTTCCAATGCTCGTACCTTGGGGTTGCCGACCAAATAAACATTATTAAAGATAACGCAGCATCAAACCCAGTAAAGCTCAACTTACTCACTCACTCGCTTCCTCGTAAATGCAAACTGTCTTCTCTTTTATTATAAAACGTTGTTTCCCCCCTCCAGAGTGACGAACTGGGAGCGCTTCCACATGGGGATACACCAGTACGGTCTCTACAGCCAGGACGACCACTACATTGACGACCTGCTCAAGGACCTCGCCACGCTCCCCGTCGTCGATGTTAGTAAGTACTCTGATGTCGTTGATTAAACTTCACACTGTCGGACACAGCTAACACGTAAATGGATCTGACTATCGAGTGTCGACAGGCGTGCAGTCAAAGTTTGGCACGTTGATAGGTATGGACAAATAATTGGAGACTGTCGACTGATACAAATACAGATTACATATTGGACACTGTCGTATGGAAACACGTACAAAACAATTTGAGGTTTACACTTATAAAATGCGCTTACAAAATAGCATCCCTACGAATCTAGTCGCACCTTCGTATCGCGATCTTACAAGATGTGGATCGCAATCCGGTCGCGACATGGTTGCTATCGAGGCGGCGTTAGTTTTAAAGTGGTACTTCATACCATATTTAAAATGAGTATGAAACACCCGATACAGTTGTACTGGACACCCAGGTACATTGTAGAATAGGTCTTCAGCAATCCATGCTTGCCGTAAAAGCCGACTATGCTTGTTGTAAGAGGCGACTAACGGGATCGGGTTGTCAGGTTCGCTGACTTGGTTAATGCATGTCATCGATCCCAATTGCTTGGATCGATGCTCATGTTGTAAATCACTGGATTGTATGGTCCAGACTCGATTATTTACAGACCGCCGTCATATAACTGGAATATTGCTGAGTGGGGCGTTAAACAACAAACCAAAACCAGGTACGTTGCCAACGGAGGGTGAGTGTAGTGAACCCAGTAGAAGACCTCTGAAACACGTTAAGTCTGACACATGTGGACTGTTATGTGATAGAGATATCACTTGAAACACCGAGGCTAAAATCTTTCCAATTACTAACGACCAACCACACCGGACACTATCACGTCTTGATATGACTGGAATACTGTTCAAAGCGGCGTTAAACTCACTCATCCACACACTCACTATATTAGGTCATTTAATATCCCTCGTGAGGATTCCTAGTAACCTATGCTGTTCTTAAGAGTGAGTGTGGGTTTACGCCGCTTTAAGCAATATTCCAGCAATATCACGGCGGGGAACACCAGAAATGGGCTTCACACATTGTACCCATGTCGGGAATCGAATCCGGGTCTTCGGCGTGACGAGCGAACACTTTAACCACTAGGCTACCCGACCGCCCCCTGATCTTAAGAAGATCGGATGGTGCTTGGTGAATTGGTTGATTGTGTGTCATTGTTCCCAGACGGCATCATAATACAGTTGCTCATAATATCAGTCACTGGATTTACTGGTCCAGACTCGATTATATACAATTCGCTGTCATGTAGCGGCTATATTGTGCGGCGTTAAACCACAAATAAACAAACAAAGGCCATCGTTATGAAGTAATACAGATGATATTAACTCACTCACTCTGCGAATCTTGCTTCGATACGACTCTGAATATTTCTGAGTAGGGCGTTAAACAACAAATAAACAGACACTGCATCAATAGCCCTTCAGAAAGGAAAAAAACGGATTTTTTCTTTAGATTTCGGTCAGAATGTAGTCGTCAAAGACTAACACCAGAGGACATCAAAGCGACATGCCTTTAACCTATACTGTCTCAAATCGAATTTCCCGAACAGAATTCAGAAAATTCTCCTTTCAAATTTGTAACATGGTTCAGATCACTGTTCCTGTTTATTTGTATACCAATCCCCGCTATCTTGTCTATAATGTTTTCCTAACCCGAACAATGTTCTAATATGTACCCCGGCCGTGTCTGTATTCGTGATTCTTACTGAGATAATGGGTAGTGCCGGTGTTGGTTCGGGAGTGCATCGGAACAGAAAGGGCCGGGGCCTGCTGCGGCTGAGAGGGTTCATGAGTAGGAGAATGTGTCTATTCTTAATGAGATAAGAACACTGGCCCATGCTGTTGGAGAGAGGGATCCCGTTTCACGAACCTGGCTCACATGCCGAACATGTGGCTTAGATTGTTGCGAAAACGGCCTTTACCTTCTTGATGTTTTCATGCAGTTTGACGGAATAGGTTGCATGTGGTATTATTTGGCAAATAGATTAATTCATATTTAAAAGATAAATAGTTAGCTAAATGATGAGATAAATGGATAAATAATATAGAAAGGTATAAAACTAATCAGTGAATGACCGGGAGGCAGGACTTGCTTACCCTTTTCGTGAACATGGTGTCATCACTAATTTTCAGTGATCCATTCATATTATTTCACTGCTATTTTGATTCTACGACCAATGGAATCTGTTAAGGACGAATATCAAGACTGATTTTTCTCTCGCCTTGACGTTTTAAATATTTGATAAATAAATACCCGTGAATAAATGAATTGTGACAATTTTGTCTGGTAAATGAACACATTATAGAAGAAAGAAAAAAGATATATTTGAAACTGAGTGTACATCCTGAGCGATGATGAGGAAGCATTTTTATACGCTTCTAAATGTCCAACATTTTTATAAAGTATTCTGTTTCTACATTGGTACTTAAAGGAGTGGTCACTCAAAGAGAACACATTATGACCATATTTAGACTTAAAGACGTCATAGATATTTTTGTGACATTATTTCTTCGTATTTGGACTGAAAGCAAACCATTTTGTAGTGTGTTTAGTTCATTCGAAACTGAATTATATTTGGGTAGGATTATTTTCAATTTTGTCAATGACATTCTCTAAGTTCATCCAGTTCGCGTCTCTGTCACCCAGGCGAAACTTGAGACGAATGCAAATCTTCTAACTGCCGACAACTGTGTGAATGAGGGTAATATTTTCTCAAATTATTCTCCGGTTGATATGTTATTTCCTAAATTTGTAAATTTGATGGTAAAATTGCACTCAAATTCGTTTGATCTGACGAGAAACGTGTGATTGTGAGACAAACTTGAGGAGACACGAATACCCAGACATCGCTACTCAAGTTAATCCATGACATGCAAAACGTTGCAAGCCTAACAACAGACGTACCAGACAAATGTTCAGGTACAATACTCCAGGCAATGACAGCCTCCACAACAAAAAAGTTCCTGGAAGTTTTTCCATAGCGAGAACGCAAAAAGTAAACCCGTGAAAGGAAACGCAATATTGAATACGTCGCAAAGAATCAACTACGAGGGAGTACGTTATCCTTTGTGACATGGCAAGAAGCCAACTGCCGACATTATCATATTCCGTGAAATTTGTTTGCGTTTTGTTGCCTCCAAATATGAAGAGATTTGTTTGCCTTCTCACACCACGGGGAGAACTTGGGGAGGAGTTAAAAACTGCGTTATTTTGTGTTGTGTGGTCGATTCATTTGAACTTAACGTTTCCTCTGCAGACAAGCTAATTGTTGTGTCAGGAGCATAATATTTGAATTAGATTGACATTTGATTGTTGAAACCCTTGTCATACTTTAAACAAGAAATGAGATCGCTACTCTAGGTTTCCAAATGGTACACATGAGTGCATTAATAATTTGGTTACGATTTAATGTGCCTGTTTCATAGTTTAAAATTTTTGTTTGTTTGTTTGTTCGTTGTTTAACGCCGCACTCAGCAATATTCCAGCTATATGACGGCGGTCTGTAAATAATCGAGTCTGGACCAGACAATCCAGTGATTGACAACATGCTCATCGATCCACGCAATTGGGATCGATGACATGCATCAACCAAGTCAGCGAGCCTGACCACCCGATCCCGTTTGTCGCCTTTTACGACAAGCATAGTCGCCTTTTACGGTAAGCATGGGTTGCTGAAGACCTATTCTACTCCGGATTTTCACGGGTCTAGTTTTAAAATATGTTGCAATGCTATGCTTATACATATTGATAATACGTACGGATAAACTGGGACAGAAAGCTTCCTAAACTTATTTTTGTAATAAATGTTAAGGGAAACACATGGTTTGTGTATGATATATTTTCAAATTCTTTGCTAGTAAGTATATATGTTACAGGGAATATGTATAATCAGGGAATATGTATAAACCCTGAAATGTTCAGGGAATATATTTAATGTCACTTCACTTAGGGATTATACATAATCCCTAAAATTTTCAGGTATTAAACATATTCCCTGATTTAACATCAAGTTTTTTAGACATATTCCCTGAAATTACTTTTGAGGCTCGTATATGGTCAAACTTGATTAAAAAAATATTCATGAGAAGACAAATTTATTGGACATGATAACAAATACCTTTCACTTAACAATTAGTCTTCACTGTAATCAAAACAATGCTCACCCTCATTTTAATGTCGACCAATTTTTGATAACGCCATCTCCGTATGTTTGGGCCATCACTAAAAAAATAAGATGAACGCCACCCTGTCGTAGTTTGAACCGTCCGAATGACGTCATTTGACATTCTGCGCTCCCGCGACATGCCATTTTTGATTCTTTGTGGCACGTTCTAAAATAATCAGTTCTGACATGCGCACTTGTAGTTCATGCTATCCCGTGACCTCATCTTTAACATCTCCAGCTACAATAATGACGGTCCTTGCATTGTTAGAAAATGTCAGATTGTATCTAACTTTATCGTTTCGACGACTTGGCGTTGCAGTGTCCATTATTGCGTTCCTTTCAGCTGACTCTATCACATAACAGGCAATGAACAAGTGGTTTTCTATTTTCCCAGTCTCTTTCTATTTAGTCTTGGCTCCACTCAGTCTGTATGGCATCTCCGCTCCATACCCAGACTGTACACAATTCACCCAATCTCTGCTTCACACCAAGACGGAAACCAGTCTCCGCTTCATACCCAGATATTGCTGAGTGCGGCGTAAAACAACAAACCAACCAATCATACCCAGACTGTACACAATTCACCCAATATCTGCTTCACACCAAGACGGAAACCAGTCTCCGCTTCATACCCAGATATTGCTGAGTGCGGCGTTAAACAACAAACCAACCAATCATACCCAGACTGTACACAATTCACCCAATCTCTGCTTCACACCAAGACGGAAACCAGTCTCCGCTTCATACCCAGATATTGCTGAGTGCGGCGTAAAACAACAAACCAACCAATCATACCCAGACTGTACACAATTCACCCAATCTCCGCTTCACACCA